CAGCATCCACCGAATTCACCGCATTTATATGCATTTACAGTATATGTTTTTGATAACTATTATTATTATTACCATTTATCCATGTCATATGTTATATATTATTTCATCAGTGTCTCTGACAATCTTCAACATGAGATAAGAGATGATAAGAGTCATGTTTCATGTGAATTCATGCGATGCATAATGCTGTGCTGGCACCCTGATCCTTGGAGGTTGTTCAGCGGAGTCTAGGGCACCAGCCTTGGTGAAGATTCACCATGGTGTGCATGAACTCTCTGGATCGTGCAAGGTTTAGGCTCCAAAGGAGGCGTCACCAAGGATAGAGGATAAGAACCAGCAAGAACCCGGGCCTATTGACATATTTGACATGTCATATCAGTTTTTTAATCATGTCATGATATTTCAATGTCTTTCAATATATCATATATTCCTTAGTCTTAATAATTATGTCTTAATGATATGAGATGCTTGTGCATTGGGTGGCCTGAGACAGGCAGGCCGCCTGGCAGGCCACCCTTGCTGAGGAGCTGTGATCTCAAATGGACTTGGTGAATCTTGAATGTGACGACGAGGTCATCCCATCCACTAGCACAATCATTGGCAAAATGCCGGCCGCAAGTGCCAACGCGCTGTCAATGGCTGAGACGACATCCACCTTTGAGGACTTGCATTTCAGCTCTGCGATGTTTTTTCTCCTCCATTTGTCTATGATTTAATCATATTTAATCTCAGCGATCATATAGAATTTCTATGAATTTCTCTTTGGAGTTGCTGCATCATTCTGCATAACCTTGGCAACTGTGGAGCTAAGGCCCCTCCAGACAGACAAACAGGCCGGACAAAAGAGACTCAAGACATTTTGAGGGAAAAACGTGAGAGCCCTTGCATAGATATGATTTCTGGGCGAGAACTTCACCTTGACAGAGAAATGCGAAGGTGACTTTGAAAACGCAATCGCATGAGAAAAGATGGGATGCGGATGTATGTGGATTCTTTGCAGTGCACCTGTCAGGTGCGCCATACGTGTTGAGTTGCCCTTGTAAGCCTTCGTAATTCCTTTTGCAGGAATTTCGGCTCCACATAAGACGCGAAAGGAGCCTCGTCAAAGCCAGCGATAAGTGTAGGCCTTCATCCTCCAGTCGTGATAGAGCTGCAGGAGAGCGCGAATTGCTCTTCAGCTCTTCATGCAATTTTGTCGCCGTGGAATTGTGAAGCTTTTGACTCGGCACACCACAGCTCAGAATCCCACTTCGTTCTCTCGCAAGGTGATGACGCTCACCAGCACTCAGCAGGCAATGATCGATCTAGAGGAGAAGCATGGAGCCCACAATTATCATCCGCTGCCAGTGGTGCTTTGCAAAGGCAGAGGCACCAAAGTGTGGGACATCGATGGCAAATCGTACTACGACTTTCTCTCTGCTTACAGTGCTGTGAATCAAGGGCACTGTCATTCCAAAATTCTGGTTGCTCTCATCGAACAAGCACAGAAATTGACATTGACATCCCGCGCATTCCACAATGATGCTTTGGGAGAGTACTGCAAGTTTGTGACCGGATACTTTGGCTTTGACAGGTTGCTACCAATGAACACGGGTGTTGAAGCTGGCGAGACCGCCATCAAACTTGCACGTCGATGGGGCTATGACGTCAAGAAAATCCCTGAAGGAAAAGCTCGTGTCATTTTTGCCAGCGGCAACTTCTGGGGTAGAACAATTGCTGCAATCAGCACATCAGAAGACCCGAGCTCAACGACTGGCTTTGGACCTTTTGTTCCTGGCTTTAGCAATGTTCCTTACGATGACGCTGATGCACTACAAGCTGAGCTGGAAGGACCACAGGGTGCAGAGGTGTGCGCATTCATGGTAGAACCTATCCAGGGTGAAGCAGGGGTAGTGGTCCCAAAGGATGGCTACCTGACACGTGTTCGTGAGTTGTGTGACAAGCACAAAGTTCTGTTTATAGCTGATGAAGTGCAGACAGGGCTTGGCAGAACTGGCACCCTTTTGGCCTGTGACCATGATGGAGTTCGACCTGACATTTTGGTGTTGGGAAAAGCTCTCTCAGGAGGAGTTCTGCCCGTGTCAGCTGTACTGACTTCTGATGAGGTGATGCTAACGATTCGCCCAGGAGAGCATGGCAGCACGTACGGTGGAAATCCTTTGGCTTGTCAAGTGGCCACTGCTGCTTTGGAAGTTCTTCGTGACGAGAATCTGACTGAGAACTCCAAGGCCAGGGGTGAGCAGCTACGGGCAGGTTTGCAGGAGCTTTCAGAAAAGCCTGGCTCACCCATCTCACTTGTCCGAGGCCGGGGCTTGCTGAATGCCATTGTCATTGGGGACGACAAGGGCAGCTATGGCGATGAGGGCCGAGCATGGGAGCTGTGTGAGAAGATGGCTGGCCATGGGTTGCTAGCCAAGCCAACTCACGGTACCATCATCCGCCTGGCCCCACCACTGTGCATTACTGAAGCTGAAATCGACGAGTGCATTGACATCATTCGCCGAAGCTTGGAAGCCATGTGAGAATGGATAGAAATTGATAGAAATGGATAGAAATGGTGCAATGCTGCAGGGCCGTGCCCGGGAGGATCTTGGCGGCAATATGAAACAGCCTGAAACAACGGATCGGTGATGATCCCAGGCCCAGCTTCCTTTTGATGAAGTTGGCAGCGTGCCACCAGATGCTGCCATTGCCATACGGTTGCAATGGTTCAGTAGACTTTTGTTGCAAATCAAATTCTTTGACATGGCTGCAATGTGGCAACGATTCTTTTTGCATCCTGTTGATATGTTGCATGGTGAAATGCAATGCGTTTCTTCGGTAGGTTTCAGCGCGAAGCTGGCAGAGCACCAGTCTCTAGAGTATGGCAGAGCAAGACCCGACGCCGTAGAGTCGTCAAAATTCACGTCCGCATCACTGCGTCCTGGATTTTTTTTCATCGTTTTGAATCAGGTGGTCCAATGTAGCATATGTAGCAAACGCATGCGAATGATCAAAGCGGAGCACTGCACCACTGTTCACAGATGTCGCCCCAGGCAGTCCGAGTTCTTGGATGTTTATGCCGCCAACATTGGGCGAAGCAGTGGTCTCAAATTCCGTCAACTTACTTTCATTTCGTTGGATTTGACGTTCTCCCTTTGCTGAATCAGCTTGATAGTGTAAATTAATAATGTTTGATAGGGCTTGATAGTGTTTGAATGTGTTTGATATATATATATATAATATATATATATACATATATGTATATATACATATAGCTTTAATACCCTCAAAATCTTCCTGTAGAAAGATTCGCGTCTGATTTCTTATGCTGCTTTGGGCGAGGTACTGGATGTCCGATGCTTCGGTCGCAGCCTGATCAGCTGTAGGGATTCACGAGACATGGTCGAATAATGCCACGTACCTGGTCTTAGTGACTTAGTGAATCATGTGAATCTAAGGCCAGGAAAGGGGCAGAAGGTTTTACCATCAATTCCGCGAGGACTCAATTGGCAACCTCCTCCAAACAATGTAGAAGACGTATGAAGACGTAGAAGTGCAGACTGGCAGAAATGCATCTCCACTGACACACCAAACAGGGTGGCTCTGACAATGAGGGTCAACGAAGGTTGAAGTGATGAACTGGTTGCATCTCGGATTCTCGCCTTGCAGGAGCACGTGGGAAACCATTTATGACGACTGAAGCTTTGGGCTTTGAGCTCTCAGGCTACGATATGACTTCGTATATATTTGTATACAGATAGATCACGTTCTTCCCATTTCAATCAATCTGTGAACATGAGCTGCACTGAAGCAGAGAGGCATGCAGAGGGATAGGGTGTCTATGCATCGTGCTTCGGGGAGTTTGCCCTCTGGCACATGATACAATCAATTAGAATCATGCAGTGAGCAAAGGCCCATCCAACATGCAGATTAGTAATATGGAAGATTTAAATTATGGCCTACTACACTTGCGGATATACAAATATTCTTTGTATATTCAGATGTGCGTTTGCGTGTGCATATGTATGCGCAATGTTTCACGCATTGTGACCATGATATTCTTGAGTTGAACGCCTATGTCCGAGAGTGAGCTATAGTAACATAGAGTAACTCACTGGCCAGGATATGAAATCAGCGAACATGATTTTCCCAGCTGGTATGGCCCTTGGTTTGGCAGAAGCATCCTGAGCAAGGTGGGAACACTTGTGGTAAGAAAATAAAAGAAATGCAGACACTGGGACTGTGAAGTCTGTGAAGTTGAGGCCACCAGAAACATCAAGCAACGAAGAGAAGGCATGTAGACTTTGTAGACGCCTATGGCCATCTACAGCCATTGGAATAAACAGCTGCCTTGCTTCTTGGCCTGCTGTAGACATGAGATATGAGAGCTTGAGCACACATTGCATTCAAACGGGGATAGCGATGACCTAGGTATCCTAGGTGCACAAATGATATGTTGGTATTGGTATGAGTTCAATGCTCAACATCTCATGCTTTCGCAATAGTGTGCCAAAGCAGGGCAGTATCGTGGCTTCCGCGCAGGAATGGTATGCTATGGCCAGGGCATTGAGACATGAAGCACCTCCACTCCCAAAGCTTGCAATCAAGCAGGACCGGACCTACTGGTATCAAAGAAACATATATTCTACAATCCCTCTATATATATTTCTTTGAATGGATTGCTCTTCATTGTTCTTCGTTGCTGATTAAATTGAATAGAGCACTGAGCAATCTGAGCGATCTGAGCATGGGTCGTCAAGTGCCAATCCCAGAGCCTTGTTCGAGGAGCCTGTAGTCGACAACTTTCCTGCAATCCCGCCGCCCAGCAGGGGTATTCTGAATCGGCGAAGCCGATGATCTTGATGTGCCCATGCGGTGCGGATTGAAATTTCAGACCGACGAGTCATAAAGTATCGAACCTGCGCTGAGTCCCAGAAGAAGTAAATGACGTGCCATATTGTGCCAGGCAATGCCGGATGTTTTTGATATGTTTTGATTGTATTTGCATACTTCTTCACTCTGACTCTGTCTAGTCTTTGTCATCAATTTCTCACCGTCATGTCCTGCACTGCAGATCTTCGGCTCAGAGAAATCCGGGCATGCTGCACCGCTTGAGCATCCTGTGGACTGGTGTCCCATGCAGCTGATTGCATGGCTTGGTTGGACAAATTGTCGCAATTCTCAAGCTTTGATTTCAGCGCTGTAGGTGCTCAACTTGGTTATGAGCCTGGGGCCCCGACATCACCGAAAACCAGGAGTCCAGCACCTCCAGAAGAGGGTAAGGAATGGCCTGGCCAATCATGGGCCATTTCTAGTTTGCTGGATTTGAACAAAGTCGGAGCCCAGTTGGGTGTGCAAGCTGCACCCAAAGCAGAGGCGCATCATGCTTCAACAGAAGCTAAGCAAGACTCTGGCAGCGTCATTGCGCCATTTTCTGGCTTGTTTGATTTCGGCGCGATTGGTGCTCAGCTCGGTATTCAATCCTCCCCAACAGACAGTCAAACCACTGGTGCGCTTGGCACAAAGCCACACACCGCAGAAGCTTTGCCATCAGAGAGTGAGGCTTCCAGGAAACCTGCATTTTCTGGTTTGTTTGGCGGAGCACCCAGAGCGGAAGAGAGCATCGACTTCGAGGGTGCCCAGGAGGATGGCATTGATGCTCCAGGAGAAGTTCTTGCTGATGGCGGTGAAGCACTGGAAGAAAGTCACGAAGAACAGGCAGGGCCGGCAGGGCAGGCAGTGCAAAAGCAAAGTGCAGTCAAGACAATCGGATCAATCGGGCCTCAGATGAATCTTGATGGTGAAGAAGCCATAGATGCACATGCCGTTGACCCATGGGATCCTGCAGAAGCAGAGGGGGCAGGAGCACCACTCGAATCGCACAGTCTCTATTTGACTAGGGAGGACCTCATCTCTCATTGGGCACCATTTTCATCATACTTCCACCCAGGCATGCAAGTTGCCATTGCACCATCCCCAGAGCCGCAAGCTGCTGTAGAAGCAAAGGTGCCGACCCCGGAAGGTTTCCTGGTGGTTTCTGTCCAGCATAAAGAGTCAGTTGCCGATCCGACGGACATTTCCGTCGGCAGGTACTTCTACTTCGATGCATCTCCTTTTCCTACGTTTCAGTTTTCCACATACTCATGTTTTACAGAGCAATGGCGTCAAGGAGAGTTGATTTGGAGTGGGCAGGTGCAACTCAGTTTGGGAGCATATGGTTCCGTCGATCTGCCTGAGATAGCCAGCCCAGCTGCAGGACGCAAAGGTCGGGAAGAATCCCAACCAGGAGATTTCGAAGTTGGTGACCTGATATTCGTTGTTGGCTTTCATCGCGATCTCGCCAACACCAATGGAAGGCATGTAGACTTTGATCATAATTTGCATTTCTATCAGGCCGCTTGCGTGGGAAGCAGGCTTCCGTTTAATCAGGCCTCGGCGCTGTATGCTGATGACCTTGCAGACCTTGGTCAGCCTGTTCCACTTGGGATTGAGGTTGATGAACACGAGCTTGCAGCTGTGAGGCCTGTAGTGGTAGCTGTAGCACCAGCAGTTGCCAAAGCCAATGCTAATACAATCCTGCAATCAGTTGCACACACTACAGACCTATCAGCAGACAGCTTCGCATTGAGTCAAGACATTCCGAATGAGGGAGGAGCTGGCAAAATAAACTTAAGTGCTGCTTGGGCTGCTCGTCGAAAAGAGTTCCTACGCGCTGGGCTGAAGAGTCTTGAAAGAAGAGCGCAAGAAAACGAATACATCTAGCAATGCATCTAGGATCCCGCAGGAACCACTGCGAAAGCATGGTCCGGAGGATTTTGACAGCTGGCCACAAAGTGGCGCAAGTGTCATATCAGGTGCTTGGGACTAGACTTGTTGAGAAAAAGGCTTTGGTGTGAGCACATAGCTGACGGCATGTTGAGAATGAGAATTTGTGGCAGACTGTGCTGGGGCAGGGGGCGTCCATGGGGGATCATGTCAGCGTTTTTGTCCTACTTCAGATGGGGCCATGTAAAGTTACTACAAACACTAAAGCAAATTTCTCTATTTTCCTTGCGCCAGAAATTTGGGGTTCAAGGGGATTCTCCATAAGTGCCCCTTAGTGCCGTAGTGAGTATGGAGGATGAGCCAGAAGTTGTTCAAGAAGATGGCGGAGGCCGAGGACCACGACCCCGCGGCCCAGTGACTGGTGGCTGGGGATTCGATGATGGGGCGCAAGGTGGACCAAGAATGAGTGCAGAACCCCCATCTCCACCCCAGAGAGGCCACAAGGGTCACTTTGAAGAAGATGATGAAGCCGTTCCAACAATCCCAGATTTGGAGGAAGAAGCTGAGGAAGACATTACAAGGCAGGTTGCAGCTCCTCCCGTTGCAGCTCCGTCATTAGCACCCCCTGTGCGCACCGTGCGGGAGCTGGATGGTGCATTGAACAGTCGTGGCACCCAGCTGCCCACAAGCCCAGAGGAAGGTGTAGATTTGGCACCGTTGATGCAGTGCTTGTGCTCAGATCGCCAGGTCTTTGAGCAGGACAGCACTTGGGACCATGAGCTTATCTTCCAGGAAGTAGCAAGTGCCATCAATCAAGATATGACAGGAGATGAAGAGGCCGATGAGCTGGATCTTCAAAGGTGATGAGCTCCCTGTGGAGAAGATGTGAATGCGCTTGCAGGACTGAGAGCCAACTTGCTGTGCCGCAGTTCCAAAAAGAAGTAGTGGGAAGATAGCAATAGTAGCTCGCCGCAGCGTTGGCGGGTTGGTGACCCTTGAACACAGTTTATCATGGGAGCCACATGAAAGTTGCTTACTTTGTGTGCATTGGCTGGACTGACTAATTGCTCAAGCAGTGAGAAATTGCATATCAAAAGCGAGGTTGTCTTGTTTGATTCACTCTCAGACTCCAGGCTGTTAAGATCACTGGACACAGGTCCCATCACGTTACCCAAAGCCCACAAATGCACAATGAAAAGGAAGATGACTGAAGCAAAGCCAAGCCAGCCATTTTGTCACGCTCGCATGCCGTTTGAAAGAGCAAAATGCCATGCCGTCGTCTCAGTGCCTGCAAGATCCGCAAGTTTCCAGCCCCGATCGCTATCAAAGAGAGTGGTTAAAATGGTCAGACGTAAAATGTGGAGAGCATCGATTGTCTGAGCATTCGGACGTCATTGTGGTTGACCGTGCCAAATATGCCGGAAACATTGGTTGAAGCCTTAGTCTTGGTATTCCAATTGTAAGCTGGGTTTGAACGGAAAACATGCTTAAATTAAAGCTCATCATGCACCAAACATGTAATTACACTTAAAGCATTTTAAAACTTATCATCACCTTGTTGATCCCACCCTGGATGTTTGAAAGTGTGCGGGCGAAAGCCACTGAGGTTCCATATTGAGGCACATGCCGCTCCTTGGTGGAGTACAAGTCCTCTTCTTGACAAACAGCGACCACAAGCGCACTTCACCCTATCCAGTCTACACGCGTGGTTTTTTGAAGGAAGTGATGAGGGTGTCCATGGCTCGCAACTACCAGGCAGGTTGCACCCTAATTATAAGTAAAGGCATGTGTGTGTAAGTGTAAGTGTAAGTGCAAGGACAGGACGTGCAATAATGAAGAGCTTGCAGGTTCTCGACAAACTCACTTCTCATGCCCACCTCTTTTTTCATGTTCCTTGATTTTCCCGAATGCGTAGCAAGGGTTCCCGTTTCACTCTGGGGGTCTGAGTCTGGGGGTTGAGGGTGTGTTCGCTCGACGTTGCGTTCACGGTCGCAACCGTCCGCAACCGTTCGTGTGAGGACCGTATGGCCGTGCCTATGGGAAGTTCTGCAGGAGGGATCATTTTTGGAGGTTTCAGACGTCTGGTTGCTTCGTTTCGCGTGGCAGGCGTTGCACTTCGTGACATTTAGCAACGTTCTGTAACGTGTCGAAAGTCGTTTTGTGTGGCAGGCGCAATACTTTTGCGACGTTTTCAGAAGATGTGTTGCATTCTTCGTGGCAGGCGCAGGACTTTAGACGTGTCGTGTTGAGTGTTTTTTGCAAATCGCATTGGCAGGGCTGCGTCAAGTGGCGACAAGGTGCAAATTCCGTGGCAGGCGTGGCCTTTTGTGACATGTGCTGAAAATTGACGGAAGCCTCCCAAGAAACATCGATTTCGAGGTTGCAAAATTTAGAAGTTCCTACAAAAACTCGTAGGAAAACGTCGATTTTGAAGCAAAGTGTGAAAATTGGAGGAAGTCTCGCACGAAATGCTCGTTTTGGTGCTCCCACCTGTTTGCTAACGTGTCGAAAATGTTAAAATTGCAGGAAGCCTCGTACGAAATTTGTGTATTTCTGCATACATGTGTCTTGTCTCGAGTCTCTGGTTTTCCTGTGGCGTCGCCGTGTCTATGGGGGAAGGTCCGCACTCCACACTCTACACTCCACACTCCACCATTTACACTTTAGACTCCACACTTTACACTTTACCCTCCAAACTTAACCTTTTGCACTTTACACTCCTCACTCCTCACCCGAGACTTTACACTCCACACTCCACACTTTACACTCCACACTCCTCACTCTACACTTTACACTCTACACTTTACACTCTACACTCCACACTTGACATTTTACACTCCAGACTTTACACTTTACACTCCTCACTCCACACTTTACACTCCACACTCCTCACTTTACACTCCACACTCTTCACTTTACACTTCACACTCCACACTCCACACTTTATACTCCACATTCCACACTCCACAATTTACACTTTAGACTCCTGACTCCACACTCCACACTCTACAGTATACACTCCACACTCCACACTTTACACTCCACACTCCACACTCTACACTTTACACTCTGCACTTTACACTCTACACTTTACACTCTACAGTCCACACTTTACACACTCCACACTCCTCACTCCACACTTTCCACTCCACACTCCACACTCCTCACTTTACACACTCCACACTCCACACTTTACACTCCGCACTCCACACTCCACACTCCACGCTTTACACTCCACACTCCACACTTTACACTCCGCACTCCTCACTTTACATTCCACGCTCCACACTCTACACTTTCCACCCCACACTCCACACTCTACACTTTACACTCCACACTCCACACTCTACACTTTGCACTCCACACTCCACACTCTACACTTTACACTCCGCACTCCACACTTTACACTCCGCACTCCTCACTTTACACTCCGCACTCCTCACTTTACACTCAACACTCCACACTCTACACTTTCCACCCCACACTCCACACTCTACACTTTACACTCCACACTCCACACTCCTCACTTTACACTCCACACTCCACACTCTACACTTTACACTCCGCACTCCACACTCCACACTGTACACTCCGCACTTCTCACTTTACACTCCACACTCTACACTTTCCACCCCACACTCCACACTCTACACTTTACACTCCACACTCCACACTTTACACTCCACACTCTACACTTTACAATTTACACTCCACACTCTACACTTTACACTCTACACTTTACACTCTACACTCCACACCCCACACCCTACAATTTACAAACTCCACACTCCTCACTCCACACTTTACACTCCAAACTCCACACTCCTCACTTTACACTCCACACTCTACACTTTCCACTGTCCACTCCACACTCCACACTCTACACTCCACACTCCACACTTTACACTTTACAGTCCACACTCCACACTTTACACTCCGCACTCCTCACTTTACACTCCGCACTCCACACTCTACACTTTCCACCCCACACTCCACACTCTACACTTTACACTCCGCACTCCACACTCTACACTTTCCACCCCACACTCCACACGCTACGCTCCACACTCCACACTGCAGACTGGTAACAGGGGAAATATGTACAGCAAAAATGCACGAAATCTCAGGAATTCATCTTCGCGCAAGGTCACGCAAGCTCAGTTTGAAAAATTGTCCGCGCGCAAGCTCTCAATGTGGTCGCGCAAGGATGGCGCAAGGATTTCGCGCAAGGATGAATAATTTCAATTCAGTTTTCATTGAAGTTTTGAACACCGCTCAAATAAACTATTGCAGAAAAGTGTTCTGCGTGATTGCATATCCATGTGTTTTGACATCTGTACCATTAACATACGTGTGAGCATTCGGGCTCGTGGGCTGCATCTTGTTCATTTTAGTGGCAGACTGTCAGCAGATGGATGGTTCCTAGCAAAGACCGGCGCGATGGAACTGCATTCAAATCTAATCACAAGCATTTCCTCTGAGCGAAGGAATTTGGAAGCCAACTCTGCGTTCTAGAAGGCGGCGATGGCAAAGAGGAGATGCTAGACCTTTTGAAACTGCTCAAGTCAGCCGGGTTTAAGCGGCTCTTGCTCGAGAATCAAGAAGTGTTCGAGGCGCTCCAACTTTTTTGGAAAACGAAAGGGGAAACACACTTTTCTGCCTTTCATGTTCTGCATTCTCCATGTATTTGTTCCTGGTGACTACAGGCCACGCCAGAAACATGTCCGCACCAAAGCTTGAGGCCTTGCAGCCTCTGACTCTAGACGACGGAGAACATGACGGTTCATTTTTTTACTTCTCTAAAGCTATTGTCAAAAGCATCATGACCGGACTGACTTGGATGTTGCCAGGAGGTTCGGTCTTAGGTGGTCTTGAAAAATGTATGGAGAATGTCTTGGATCATCTTGGATCTTTAAATGATTTCAACCTAGAAATGTAGGATGTGTGTGGATGTAAGTGTGTGTGTGTGTACGTGTACATGTAGTGAAGTTACAGTATATATGTGTGCTATTATGAATGCAAGTCCCCAAGGACAGGCACGGTCTGAGCTCTGGTTTCTACAGTTTGGATTCCTCCACCACGATATCATACAATATCTTGGTTTGTTCATGTTTGTTCCTTGCAGGAATTGTCAGCATCTGGAAGGACTCTCCCTTGCGATTCCATCTTTGAGCAAGCCGTTTTGCAAGACTTTTCTGCCCCGGTGGCCTTTATATTTGGTGGTGAAGTAGGACAGCTTTTGCCAGATCTTGTGGTGCACTGCGATGCTGGCGCTTTCATACCAAGCTGGGCGCGATTGGGTTCCCAGAACGGTTTGCCCTCGGATCAGATCGGACACCTGGCACAGTCGACTGTAGAAGATTTGGAAGATGCCACCGAGAAAGCAGAGGCGAGAAGCCGAACGCATTCATGCAATCTTTGTATCGCTGCCTGCATAGTTTTGAGCGAAAGATTCCGGCACCGTTTAGCTTCAATAAAAACATGTTCGGCTCGTCCCCAAAGTCAAGGGACACAAAATGAACAAAACATATGTGAAAAAAATCGGCTTTGGTCTGACCCTAGACAAGCAGATTTTCCTACCATATTTCTAAACAAAATCATGGTATATTAGCAATTTGGGTATATAATTAGTTTTTAAAGCTGTCGTTTTATAAATCGGCTGGTGCACACCATCCTGATTTAGAAAGACATTCCATACTGTATCAGACTGCATCATTCAATATTGATCAATATTTATATATTCCTTCCTCGCCCATGTGGGAATTGGAAATTCTGATTTCTGATTGAGCGCGGGTTGGTGAATTTTTTCACCGCAGCCATTCAGCCACTCAGCCACTTCGATTTTACTAAAATTATTTATATAATTCTATGTTCAAGGCTTCCTTAGGGGTTATATTTTCGAAAAAGAAATGCTATAACAAAATTATACTATTCCCGATATGTCCATATGCAAAAAAAATATTCGCCCATATTCGCCCCGTCTATAATATTATAATAAAGATAGGAACATAATAAACGGGGACGATTTCCCAAAAGGCGTGCCTAGCCGGAGCTGCTTGGGGAGAAAGAATCAGTAGTCGAGATATCCTCATGTTTTAGCTCTGCTGGCAAATCCATTGTGTTTAGGTTCCACAGCCTTTTGTGGAAACATACGTGTATTTGAGGAAACAATAGTTTGTTTATGCGGAGTTTTTTTGGGGGAAGTGAGATTTTTCCGGCGATGTGGCTTTGTTATGTTTAGATGGCTTTTCCCCACCTGCCAGGTGAGGGTCTCTAGATTTTAATGAAAGCTCCGAGTCCTCCTTTTTCCTTCTTACTTCGTCCTACTTCCTCCTCTGCCAGCATGAGAGCTCCGACGGGAAGGGATCCAAACGTTGAATTTCCGCCGGCTCTCCGCCTCTATAACTGGATACGGAGTTACATGAGGATCTGCAAAGTGGGATTTGCTTTTTGATACGCAATCCTTCTATACAAACATGGCTTGTGAATCCAGAGTTCCACTATGAAATGACAAAAAACTCTGCACATGAGATTCTGGCAAGAATGATCTTGAGAAGCGGAGGTGATTTGCACAAGCGGCATTATTATGTGATATTTATGTGATATGCAATCCTGATGCCCAAACATAAGTTGCGGCGCCGGAATTCTACGGTAAGCTAACGAAAAAAACGTGCACATTTAGAATTTTGGAAAAGTTGTCTTGAAAGCCGGAATTCCATATGGAAGTATATGGATAGGTGTGCCTAGGCGCACCTTAGTCGTAGCTACGAATTTATATACGTAAAACAACATTTACCTTATTAAAATCTTATTAAATAATTATTTTATCTTTCACGATAGTACCTATTTATATTTAGAAAATACATGCTTTCATTTATATTTATTTAATTAAAGAAAGAATATTATGATATATTATATATTTAATTAAATGAATTATTCGATTGGAAAATAGACAAATAATACATATAATTATATATATATATTATTATACTACTAATACTACGATCTGGCTGTACACGGAGCGCGCGCGCAGGTTCCCGAGGCTAATTTTCCCAAAAATCTGCCACAATTTTGGGGAAATCGGCGAATACAAACTTAGCCTGTGCGAATACAAACTAGGTCTGTGCTTCCTGAGCTCCCTGCTCGGAGGTCGAAATGTTACTACTTTTTTGGGAAAATCCAATTTTGATTTTTCCATAAAAGTGATGGTTTTTGGGAAATTTTCTCTTCTCCCCAGTCAGTGTCCCACTAAGCAAATGCAGTACGGTCGGTCGGGGGTTCGATTCCCCCCTGGTCCACTGTTGCACGGTAGGTTTTTCAGTTGAGTTTTAAAAAGTTTCTTCTGAATTTGGCGTACGCGCGCGGAGTTTCCCGATGCCAATTTTCCCCAAAATCTTCCATAATTCTGAGACAGGGTTGGAGGAAACAACATTTTATGAACAGGAATCAAAGCCAATTAAACAGATCTATCTTTGAAATACATCTGAAGATTGTACATTACTTCCTCAATATTTTTCCAAGTATTTTTCTAACCATGGCAAGGTAGCTGACGGGGTTCTACACATAAAAGTATTAGTGAGGGATTTTGGAATTTCTATGTATGGATTGATGGACATATCCTAATCGGGCCAATAATTCTGGAACTTTGGTATCAAGCCAACTTATTTAAACCATCTCGTGCGGATTTGCAGACTCATGAGTAAAGATGAAGAAATATTGCTGACATTTTCTGAACCAGCTAAATTATGGCGAGATATTCAGAAACATGGGTATGCTAGCTACCGCTAAAGCTGACTTTGCTCAGAAAAAGGAAAGAATGCGAACCCAATAGGGTTGAGGATTTGGTCCGTAAACACTCCGTGGGCCAGTTTGCTACTGGTAGGGTTAACGATTTGCTCCGTGGACTACTTTTATGATCTTTTATGCTATTCATCAAGAAGTCCAGCGCTTGGCCGGGATGTCCGGTACCTGTCTTGAGATGTCCGGCACCTGCTTTGAGATGTCCGGCGCAAGGCCGGGATGTCCGACACCTGGGATGTCCGGCACCTGCCTTGAGATGTCCGGCACAAGGCCGGGAGTCCGGCACAAGGCCGGGATGTCCGGCACCTGGGATGTCCGGCACCTGCCTTGAGATGTCCGGCGCAAGGCCGGGATGTCCGGCACCTGCCTTGAGATGTCCGGAACCTGCCTTGAGATGTCCGGCGCAAGGCCGGGATGACCGGCACCTGGGATGTCCGGCACCTGCCTTGAGATGTCCGGCGCAAGGCCGGGATGTCTGGTAACTGGTCAATGCATTTTTCTTTATCGCTGGTAATGCTTAAAAATGAAAAGGTATATTTATGGGTCATATATCTTTTTATTTGTATCTTTATCAGATTATATAAGTATATATATATAGATATATTTTTTTAAGTTTTTATATTATATCTATATATAATTATTTGTGTTTTTAAACTTTCTATATATATATATATTTATATAAATATATTTAATTTTCATATATATATATTACTATATGTATTATTATATAGTATTTCTTTATTTCTTTTTTTCATTTATTCTTTCTTTCTTCTTTATATCTATTTTTTATTTTTATTTTTTGAAAATACAAATAGTTTTAATATTTTCAAGAAATAAATAAACAATAAATAAATAAGTAATTAAACAAATAAAACAATAGATAAATAAATAGTAAATAGGTATATAAATTAATTAAATAAATATGTGTGTATTGATTTTTGTTTACGTTTGAAAACAATGTGTGTATACCGGTGTATCCATACAAACACACATATCTATCTATTTGTCTGTCTCGTTTGTCGATCTATCTTTCTCTCTCTTTCTCTCTCGCTCGCTCGCTCGGTGGGTCTGTCGGTCTGTCGGTCGGTCTATTTATCTATCTATCTATCTTTCTGTCTTCAGGATTGTAGGAAGCAAGGTTTTACATCAAGGAATTCAATCCAATCATGCAGACACTGTTCTTCGGTATACACCTGTACTTGAAGGGTAATTAGGCAAGTTGTTGTTTGATGCCAGTTAAAGCATGCTTCCAGACAAGGTTTTCCGGCGCCACCTCATACAGCGGCAGAAACAACCTGTATAAACAACAGGGGTTGAGAATCCTCACCTGGCAGATATGATGTGGCTCAGATCCTTTCTGTTGAGAATCGCCATAGCAAACATGCTCTGGTCATACAATCTGAAACTATGAAACTATCCTGCCGTATGACATTCTACCTGAAAGATGTAAATGCAATGGGAAATCAGTACATAGCAAAAAGGCACAGCACAACAGGCGAAGGGATTGGAGAAGGAACGCAATTATTCAGGTATTACAAAAGGAGGAGAAAAAGGGAGGAGGAGACCTCATTTGACTTGTCCGCAGATCCTTACTGGAATTTTGGTGGTCCCTCTTGGGGGGACCCCCAAAATTCCAGTGCAGGACCTGCGCTGGAATTTTTGGGGTCCCCCAGCAGGGACATAACCCACATGATGTGCAACTGGGGACATGAAAATGCTAGGGGGGTCTGTCTGGGAGGACCCCCAAAATTCCAGCGCAGGACCTGCGCTGGAATTTTTGGGGTCCCCTGGGAGGGACCATTGAAAACCTAAATTTGACATGCTGCACAAGGTAAGAAATTCTGAGGAAGCTGGCTATGATTGCGCCGCTAGAATCATACAAGTCAATTGGCGCGTAACCGTGGCACCATGGAAAGCTTTCAGGCTTGCAATCGCAACAAACTTGAGAACCGCGTCCTGCAGAAGGGAATATGCGATTTCTATCCACGGCATGCAGCATTCTAGAGAGTGCGCGTTTGACCTGCTGTGGACCTGGATTTATAGTTGAAACCTTATGCGTGTATCTTTTGCGTTGCTCGCAATCAAGTGGGACGATGGTGCTCCAGTTAAACTTGCATACCGCCCTAAATTTCATGATCAGGGATGGCGCAGTAAAAGTGTCTAGTTTTTCCCGTGGAAATTTGCTTTGTTTTTGTCAAACCCATCAACCCTTATTTATCTACCTATCGGTGTATCTAATTATATATGTATCTAGCTATCTACCTGTCTTGCTATCTATCTTTCTATCTATCTATCGATCTATGGATCTATCTATCGATCTATCGATCTATCTATCTTTCTTTCTATCTATCTATCTATCTTTCTATCTATCTATCCATCTATCTATCTATCTATCTAGGAACTATAGACATGGAACCGCGCCCCATTGGTCTGTAAACTTGGAATTTTGATGGTCCTTTCTTGGGGACACCAAAATTCCACTGTAGTGGATACAGTGGAATTATTCGGGTCCTAGCAAGTATACATTCATCTATTGCATAAGATATCGAAATGTCAT